GGGCTCCCCTGGGCTGGGGGGCTGGGTGGGGCCGTGCAGTCTGTAAGGGGGCGGAGGTGGGGGGGCGTCACGCCCCCCGTTTCGCAGCATCGGTGGAGGGGGCGGTGGGGCTGCAAGAAGAGCTGGGTCAGCGCCGGCACGGCCCACTGCAGCCTGCCAAGGCACGGCATCCCCAGGGCAAACCCTCCCTCCGGCAGCAGGGCCAAGAACATCCTCCGAGGTAGCTTTCCAGGCCAGCTGCTGAGCCAGACCACGCCAGCAGCCAGCACGGCCAGCCCAGGGATGCTCCTACGCGCACCCAGCAGAGTTTTCCTGCTCATTCCTGACATCTGCATTCCTCCTCAGCTGCAGCAGAGGGGACCGGCCAGCCTGCTTTCCACCGGGCTCACCGCCCACCTCCAGTGGGAGTGCTCTGGCCTCCACACGCTCCCAGCCCGCGGCTGGACCCAGGTCACCCTCTGCATGAGAAGGGATCTGAGGAGCAGCTACGAGCGCGTACATACAAGGGTGTGAGGGCAGAGGCTCCACATGGAGGCAAGAGAGGCTGGGAAGCCATGTCTGCACTGCCACCGAGGCTGCGATGGGACCCACAGCCCCTCTGACCCACCTCTCGCTCCTGCCCGGCCTCCCACGGATGCACGGTGGCAGTTCATGCTCCTCATTAGGCTAATTACACACAGACTAACAGAGCAGATCCCCAGCCGTAACTCAAAGGAGGGATTCTGGCAGTGCCGGAAGGACAGAGCGGCTTGGCAGGGGACCAGGCGGGAGCTGCGGTCTGGACGCCGAGCCCAGGAGCGCGCCGGGGGGGCACCAGGGCGAAGGCATCGCCGCTCCCAGCAGCGGGGACACGCTCGCACCCAGCTCTGCGCACACAGGAGGAACAGAAAGCGGCTTCCACTGAGCCACACCTCCAAAGGGTGCCCGACACCAAAACCCCCGCACCGGCGACAGAGCCTGCATCGCCAGCTGTGCTCTGACCCATGCAGCACCAAAACCAGCCCAGAGAGGGGTAGGATGGTTCCCCAGGGCTGAGCGAGGGCATCCGGCTGCACCACCGAGGGAAAGGCTTCTCCCTGCTCTGCTGCAGCTTTTTGTCACAGCCCCGGTGACATTTAGGAAGCTCAGGGGAGCAGCCGCAGCATACGCAGCTTTGTCGCCACCATGTTCTCACCTCCCATCCCAGGGACAACACACCATCCTGTTGTAGTTGGGCAACAGGAGCTGCCCAACTACAACCCACCACCATCAAGCGTGAAAGGAGCTGGATAAACAGAGGACAGGACCAGGGACATGTATTAAACATGACAGTCCGGCTACTGCCCCTGGCTCAACCCCTACACTGACTGCAACGAGCAGGAGAAACCTCGCTGTGCCCCAATGCCGACTCTTCCCCCAGCCCCTCCTGCTGGCCACCAAACACCCCACGGGCGGGTGGCTGCAGCCTGACCCACCACGGCTGCTCCCGGGCGC